AATCCATTCGGGATCGGATCACCTTGTGGCGCCTTCTCCTCAAGGGCCGACGTCAGTGCCGGGTGAGCTCCAGGAAGGTTCGCCGCCTGCTGCTCAAGACGAACGAGCCCTTGGCCTGGAAGTTGACAACAGCCGAACTTGAGTCCCATCTCACCCAAGACCTTGGTAAATATAGAGACGCCAAAGAGGGGCCTCACTTCTAAATGGCGGAAGGCTCATGTCACTACTCGTACCCAGAGCATTGCTAACGTCCGCCACAAGACGGCAAGCCAACGAGAACGATATCACCGCTTACGGTCAATGAAGCAACGCGAGGAGACTCGTCGGAGGCGCAAGGCTCGTTTCTCCGGTTTGTCTGGCGGTCTAAGGGCCATTCAAGTCGAACTGGAGGACAGCTCTGGCAATTGTCGGTTATAGACCATTACTGACCCGATGTCGGTCGAAGATGGATGCATGCAAGAAAATAGGGCCAGGTACCAACAAACCCAGACCCCACATCCAACTCCTCCTATGTCTGAGCCACTCTACACTATGTTTACGGGCCCTGACGCCGACAACAACCAACAACTTCTTCTGGAGGGCAAACTCCCCATCTCTGCTGGCCTGGCTTACCCTACCCAAGCCTTCCTTCGCCACTGTCGGCTGCACGACAGTTACCGGTCTCGTCCTTTCCCCTTGACGGTTGAAGAGCACGTGGACTTTTGGAGTGGCACCCCTGAGAACAAGGGTTCTGAGCCCCACGGCCTCCATAATGGCCACTTCAAGGCAGGCGCCCTCTTGGAACTGTTGGTTTCTTGTGATACGGCGTTTTGGGACCTTCCACTCCGTTCAGGCCATGTTCCGGAACTCTGGAAGAACCTGATGAACTTTGCGATTGAGAAGAAGCCTGGTGACTTCCGCCCACAAGGGATGCGGACCATCCAGCTGTTCAACTCGGAGGCTCAAGCCAACTACAAGAAAGCGGGTCGGGCTGCAATGAAGAATGCTGAAGAGGATGACATCATCCCTAAAGGACAGTGTGGGTCACGGAAGCAGCACCAGTCCATTGATCTCGCCCTTTCCAAACGATTGATCTGGGACTCGCTCATCCTGGAACGACAGTCTTCCGGCTGGATCTCGAACGACGCTAAGTCTTGCTTCGATCGCATTGTTCACTGGGTAGCGAAGACGGCCTTGCGGAGATTTGGCCTGCCGGTCACTGTCACCAATCTAATGTTTGATATCTTGGCAAAGGCTAAACACAGGGTCCGAACCGGCTTTGGCGACTCGGCTCGGACCTTTGGGCCCACTGGCGATGTTCCCTTCCAGGGCTGCGGTCAAGGCAATGGCGCAGGCCCATGCATCTGGGTTGCAATCAGTACCATCCTCATTGACGCCATGGAGGCCGAGGGATTTGGGTACAAGAGCCGAACTGCCCTCACCAACAAGGAGTTCTTCGCTTTGTGCTTCTGCTTTGTTGATGACACCGATGTCATGGAGTCCAATGACAACGTGGAGACGACTGGCGAAGACCTCCTTCCTTTGGTACAGTCGGCTTTGGACCTTTGGTCGGGTGGCATCAGTGCCACTGGTGGAGCTATCAACCCGGCGAAGTCCTTCTGGTGGCTGATTGATTTCAATTGGCGGCCGTCCTCTGGCACGTGGGTGTTTCGAAGGAAGGCTGAAATGCCTGGCAAACTGACCCTTCAAGACCCTACTGGGCCGTGGGCGACACTACGACGCCTCCAACCAGATGAAGCTGAACGGACCCTGGGAGTCATGATGGCCCCACTTGAGACCGGAACTGCACAACACCTTGCCCTGCGGGAGAAGGCCAAGAACTGGGCAGCCAAGTTCCGTCCCCAACATCTACTTCCCTATGACGTTCTTCCCTTGCTCAAGGCAACCGCCTTGAAAACTTTGGAGTACGTGATGCCCCTTTCCACACTGGGACGCTCCGACTGGGTGTCCATCATGTCACCGATCCTTCAAGCGAGTTTGCACAAAGCTGGGGTTTGCCGTTCCTTTCCCCGCGTCGTGGTCTTTGTCCCTCTGAAGTACCAGGGATTGGGTATCCCGCATCCTTTCGCCCTTCAAGTCTTCCACCATCTCAGTGTCCTGATGCGCCATTCGGCCCACCGTACCAAGACCGGCCAGTACCTGGAGGCCAACCTACAGTCCCACCAACTCGAAACGGGCACCTCCTGTCCCCTTCTTCAACAAGAACCCACCAACACCGGGATCCTTGCCTCCGAAACCTGGCTCAAACGGGTTTGGATCGAGCTCGACTCATTGGGCATCAGAGTCAAGATCTCCTCCCCTCCCTTGTCCCTCCACTGTACCAACGATCGTCTCTTGATGGACATCTTCATCGATGCCTTGGTCGACCAAGAGGACTTGCTGTGGCTCATCTGGTGCCGCCAATATCTCCAAGTCACCACCCTCTCGGAACTCACCACCGCCGACGGGTGTTCCCTGACGGCAGCTTCTCTTGCCGGCCAACCCTCCGGACACTTTGTGACCAGCTACAATTGGCCCCGAACTCGACGCCCTGGCCCCTCTCACTGGGACCTATGGCGACGCGTCCTCTCTCAAGCTGTCCTCCGCCCCTACAGCCGCCGTCGCCGATTGTTGCAGCCCCTCGGACCGTGGTCTGATTCGCTAGACCGATGGACCTGGCTCTTCTCTCGCACCGCTTTGATCCTCTTCCATCGGACGGACAAAAACCTGGCAATCTACCGGCCCATCAACTCGCGTTCACATAAGACCTTCCGAAGGGATCTTCACCACACCTGGACGGGCACCCTTCCCGGGGACGTCCAACGGGCCTCAGTCAACCTTCACCCACGGACAGCCTACGTCACTGTCACGGGCACAGCCCCTGTAGATCCGCCCGACCAGGAGTCCCTGCCAGCCTCGATCCTTCACATCTGGAGGGAATTGGCAGCCGACATGGACGACGATTGGGGATGGGTTTCGGAACTCACCACCGCCAGCTTCTCTTGCCGGCCAACCCTCCGGACACTTTGTGACCAGCTACAATTGGCCCCGAACTCGACGCCCTGGCCCCTCTTACTGGGACCTATGGCGACGCGTCCTCTCTCAAGCTGTCCTCCGCCCCTACAGCCGCCGTCGCCGATTGTTGCAGCCCCTCGGACCGTGGTCTGATTCGCTAGACCGCTGGACCTGGCTCTTCTCTCGCACCGCTTTGATCCTCTTCCATCGGACGGACAAAAACCTGGCAATCTACCGGCCCATCAACCCGCGTTCACATAAGACCTTCCGAAGGGATCTTCACCACACCTGGACGGGCACCCTTCCCGGGGACGTCCAACGGGCCTCAGTCAACCTTCACCCACGGACAGCCTACGTCACTGTCACGGGCACAGCCCCTGTAGATCCGCCCGACCAGGAGTCCCTGCCAGCCTCGATCCTTCACATCTGGAGGGAATTGGCAGCCGACATGGACGACGATTGGGGATGGGTTTCGGAACTCACCACCGCCAGCTTCTCTTGCCGGCCAACCCTCCGGACACTTTGTGACCAGCTACAATTGGCCCCGAACTCGACGCCCTGGCCCCTCTTACTGGGACCTATGGCGACGCGTCCTCTCTCAAGCTGTCCTCCGCCCCTACAGCCGCCGTCGCCGATTGTTGCAGCCCCTCGGACCGTGGTCTGATTCGCTAGACCGCTGGACCTGGCTCTTCTCTCGCACCGCTTTGATCCTCTTCCATCGGACGGACAAAAACCTGGCAATCTACCGGCCCATCAACCCGCGTTCACATAAGACCTTCCGAAGGGATCTTCACCACACCTGGACGGGCACCCTTCCCGGGGACGTCCAACGGGCCTCAGTCAACCTTCACCCACGGACAGCCTACGTCACTGTCACGGGCACAGCCCCTGTAGATCCGCCCGACCAGGAGTCCCTGCCAGCCTCGATCCTTCACATCTGGAGGGAATTGGCAGCCGACATGGACGACGATTGGGGATGGGTTTCGGAACTCACCACCGCCAGCTTCTCTTGCCGGCCAACCCTCCGGACACTTTGTGACCAGCTACAATTGGCCCCGAACTCGACGCCCTGGCCCCTCTTACTGGGACCTATGGCGACGCGTCCTCTCTCAAGCTGTCCTCCGCCCCTACAGCCGCCGTCGCCGATTGTTGCAGCCCCTCGGACCGTGGTCTGATTCGCTAGACCGCTGGACCTGGCTCTTCTCTCGCACCGCTTTGATCCTCTTCCATCGGACGGACAAAAACCTGGCAATCTACCGGCCCATCAACCCGCGTTCACATAAGACCTTCCGAAGGGATCTTCACCACACCTGGACGGGCACCCTTCCCGGGGACGTCCAACGGGCCTCAGTCAACCTTCACCCACGGACAGCCTACGTCACTGTCACGGGCACAGCCCCTGTAGATCCGCCCGACCAGGAGTCCCTGCCAGCCTCGATCCTTCACATCTGGAGGGAATTGGCAGCCGACATGGACGACGATTGGGGATGGGTTTCGGAACTCACCACCGCCAGCTTCTCTTGCCGGCCAACCCTCCGGACACTTTGTGACCAGCTACAATTGGCCCCGAACTCGACGCCCTGGCCCCTCTTACTGGGACCTATGGCGACGCGTCCTCTCTCAAGCTGTCCTCCGCCCCTACAGCCGCCGTCGCCGATTGTTGCAGCCCCTCGGACCGTGGTCTGATTCGCTAGACCGCTGGACCTGGCTCTTCTCTCGCACCGCTTTGATCCTCTTCCATCGGACGGACAACAACCTGGCAATCTACCGACCCATCAACACGCGTTCACATAAGACCTTCCGAAGGGATCTTCACCACACCTGGACGGGCGCCCTTCCCGGGGACGTCCAACGGGCCTCAGTCAACCTTCACCCACGGACAGCCTACGTCACTGTCACGGGCACAGCCCCTGTAGATCCACCAGACCAGGAGTCCTTGCCAGCCTCGATCCTTCACATCTGGAGGGAATTGGCAGCCGATATGGACGACGATTGGGGATGGGTCCCGGAATACATCTACATTGAGGGTGACAAACAAGTCCTACTGGAGGCACTGGAGAAGGGAAAGCTACGGGTGATCAGCGATGGCTCCTTCAAGCAACAAGTGGGCACAGCCGCAGTCCAGCTATGAACTAGACGGGGAGGACACGTCATATGGATCAAGTGCCGTACACCTGGTAAACGAGAGGATCAGAGTGCGTACCGGAGTGAACTTATCGGTCTGTTAGCTGGTATCTTGGTGGCTTCTTGGCTCCGCCTACGCCTACAGTCCCTCACCAAGCCACGAATCCGTGTTGCGTGTGATGGGATTGCCGCGCTTCGCCAGGCCTTCTCGGCCGCTGTCTCCAACCGCCCCACACTTTGATCTCTTGTCCTCCATCCGCGAGGCCCTCCAAGTTTCCAACATATCCTGGGCCGAACAACACGTGGGCGGCCACGCTGACCGAACCAAGACATGGCGACAGATGTCTTGGTGGGAACGACGGAACTCCGAGGTGGACGACATTGCCCAGGGCTACGCCGACGAGCTGATCGCCACCGACGACACGATCGCCACCAATCCCAAGTTCTTCTCCGAACCCTGTGCGATCTACATCGACAACGAGAAGGTCTCCTGCCTGGCCTTGGAATCGGTCGACGAAGCCGTTGTCCTGCCGGAATTGATGGAATATTGGGCAGCCAAAGGCCGCCTCGCTCCCGAACACTTCCGATTGGTGGACTGGCTGATAGTGCACCGAGCGATGAAGTCTCTGAAGCCCGCCGAACAGCGCTTCATCACAAAACACACCGTTGGGATGTGCGATGTCGGCAAGTTCCGTTAACGATGGGGCCTCGACTCCGAGAACCGATGCCCCTTGTGCGGCCTGGAGGAAGACCACCTACACGTCCCTCGCTGCCCTTCTGACCCGGCCAGGACCCAGTGGCAACTCCTACTCCAAGAGCTCCAAGAATAGTTCCAGTCCACCATCACTGCTCCACCCTCCAACCCGATGAAGCTGAACGGACCCTGGGAGTCATGATGGCCCCACTTGAGACCGGAACTGCACAACACCTTGCCCTGCGGGAGAAGGCCAAGAACTGGGCAGCCAAGTTCCGTCCCCAACATCTACTTTGCTATGACGTTCTTCCCTTGCTCAAGGCAACCGCCTTGAAAACTTTGGAGTACGTGATGCCCCTTTCCACACTGGGCCGCTCCGACTGGGTGTCCATCATGTCACCGATCCTTCAAGCGAGTTTGCACAAAGCTGGGGTTTGCCGTTCCTTTCCCCGCGTCGTGGTCTTTGCCCCTCTGAAGTACCAGGGATTGGGTATCCCGCATCCTTTCGCCCTTCAAGTCTTCCACCATCTCAGTG